CCCCAAAACCCCAAAACCCCAAAACCCCAAAACCCCAAAACCCCAAAACCCCAAAACCCCAAAGTATAAATATTAGGTAGAACTCTTGTAAGTTAAGATTAATATTTTTAAACCATGAAGAAGACAAGCTTCAGACCAAATGGACAAGAATTCGTCCTCCTTTCAATGGACGGATACAAGAAATTAGCTAATATTAACAGCTCTGGCAAGAATCTGTACTGGACGACAGACATTAACACTGAGATTCCTATCAAGTACAACTTGAATGACTACCAGGGCCTCGTGTCGGTCACCCCAAAGACATTACCTCAATGTTTGGTGGAGAACCTCAAGACTCACAGAGATTGGCCAAGTCTGCATGCTGAGGTGGCTAAAGATGAATGGACACTCTGGACTCATGGAGATGTCTGGAAAATCAGCTTTAATTTTGCCAAGTCACTTCTCGCTTTTGGTGTAACACACAGAGCAGCTGTGAATATTATTGGCTATAACCACCCCATGTGGATATTCGCATTTTATGGAACAGTTATTGCAGATAATGTAGCTGTAGGAGTCTACATGACTAGCACTCCTTCAGCATGCGAATATGTCGCAGACCATAGCTCTTGCGAGCTAGTGGTCTGTGAAGACCTCAAGCAAGCTGAGAAGTACCTCGGCATTTTGGATAATCTACCAAAGATCAAAGGAATAGTAATCTGGAGTATTGCCAGATTCGAGACAAGGCCTCACTCCCTCATCATGGGCTGGGAGGAGTTCCTCGAGCTTGGCTCCCAAGTTTACGAGGATTCTGTCAGATACGAAGATATTTTGTACGATAGGATGCAGAAGCAGGTTCCTGGCATGTGATGCAACATAGTCTACACCAGCGGCACTACAGGAAATCCAAAAGGGGTCATGCTGACTCATGACACGATGTACTTTATGAGCAAAAAGTATCTCAAGAGCTGGGATACTGAAGGACTTGTAGACGGACAGGAGAGAGTTGTTTCTTACCTCCCTCTGTCGCATAGTGCAGCCCAAACCTATGACCTTGGGTTTAACTATGTCGGCAGGGTCCAACTATATTTTGCTAGACCTTGAGCATTGCAAGGCAGTTTAGTCGGTAAGCATCTTCAAGACTAGGAAAGGAGTTTAGTTGATCCTTGTAAGCATTAGTTTCCTTGGTCTTGGCAAACATTATGAGGCCAGATTCGTCTTGTTTAGGATGGACCCAATCATAAAAATAGATTAAAAACGAGCCAATGATTAATTTCTGGAGTTTTAATTAACCAATGATTTTTAGATACTTTGAAGCATGCCAAACCCACCATTTTTTGGGCTGCACCAAGAGTCTGGGAAAAGTTAGAGCTTAAGCTAAAGGAGATCAGCGGGAAATCATCTGCTGCAGTTAGGAAGGCTCCTAGCTGGGACAAGGAGTCCTACCCTGCTCAGTTCAGCCAAGGCGAGTCTAATACTCCAGGGTACCTGAGTGCTAACTTCACAGATGTAAGGAACTTGCAATGAGAGATTGGTCTTGAAGAATCAAAGATCCTTATGGTGACCTCTGCTCCAATGAAGACAGCAACCTTGGAGTTCTTCAACTCCATTGGTCTTCCTGTGATGAATGTCTACGGGATGAGCGAATGCAATGGGCCTGAGACCTCAGGCAAACCTTCCAAATTCGCTGAAGGCTCTGTAGGATTCCCTATCGAAGACACTCATATCAAGATTGATACTAGGAACAAGACTGCTGGTGGCATGGAGAACGAAGGAGAGATCTGCTTCAGAGGCAGAAATAACTTCATTGGGTATCTTAACAATGAAGAGAAGACCAGAGAGACACTTGACGCTGATGGTTACATCCATTCTGGTGACATCGGCACTTTCGAAGATGATGGCTTTGTCAGGATTACCGGAAGGATCAAAGAACTCATCATCACCGCTGGCGGTGAGAATGTAGCTCCTGTGCTTATCGAAGACTCATTTAAGAATATCTGTCCTATAGTGAGCAATATGATGGCTGTCGGAGATGGTAGGAAGTATCTAACAGCTTTGCTAACTCTCAAGGTAGAGGTAGACACTACTAATGGAAAGAACTTGCCTACAAAAGATCTGACTCTCTTTGTCAAGACCTTCCTTGAAGAACACCTCGGAGTTACAGGAGTTCACACTACTGAGGATGCCATGAGAAATAAGAAGGTTATGGAGTACCTTCAGACAATGATTGATGAGAACAACAAGTTGGCCCAATCGAGGGCCCAGACTATCAAGAAGTTTAGAGTGCTACCCACTGACTTTAGCTTTGAAGGAGGGGAGCTCACTCCCACCCTGAAGCTAAGGAGAGGACCTACTCTGGACAAGTATTCCGAAGTTATTGATGGAATGTATATAGATCAGGACATGATTTCCAGAATCTAATTTTAAGTTTCAACTAACCATATTTTGTGTGGGGTTTTGGGGTTTTGGGGTTTTGGGGTTTTGGGGTTTTGGGGTTTTGGGG